GGTAGGTGGAGGTGGAGTCTTGGCCGCGCGCAGCGAGTAGAGCGTCTGCCATTCGTCGCACATCGATAATATGGGGCGGAAAACCGCGCCGGTCAAGGTCTAGGATCCATTGTACGAGAGACTGCTCTTCAATAGGTAGTAGCTTTCTTTTTCTAGCGTTAGCAGTAGCTTGAGGTTGTCTACCTTGAAGGCGGTTATAAAGCGTTGAACGAGGAACATTAAATAGCTGAGCAGCTTTACGTTGACTCTTAATTTGATGTCTTTGAATTGATTGAGATGCAAGACAAAGTCTACCTTGCCTTTGAGGCGATAGAGAGCGTTGTTGTCGCGTCATAGCTGTTGTTGTGTAGAGGGTTAGGTCAAGTTTGGTGGGGTGGCCGGATGACTGGTGTGGCCGGATGACTGGTGGAACACGTTAGCTATCGTACGCTTACTTAAAGACACTAAGGCAAAACTTAGCCTTACGCGCTCGCCTACCTCTCTATCTACCTATAACGCAAAAAGGAGCTTGTATAGTACATTAAATCCCTTACTAAGAGGCGTACACCACCTTTGCGTCTAATAATACGCCATCTTGCGTCATCCTTGCTTAGTAGAGACGTTTTAGAACGCTAGGTTGTTACAAGGTAACAAGAAGGATCCTCTCCTTGACAACGGACGGGAGGTAGGAAGCCTATAGGCGTCCACGTCAGAAGGTAACGATCAGCGCGGGGCGCGGATCACGTGACTAACATCTCGCCAAGACGCGACATCTTGCCAAGAAGACAGATGCCACGACCTCGGGAGATGCCAGGACATCTCGGACATCTCTAGATGCCAGGCCTCTGGGAGATGCCACAGATGTCAGGGCCAGAGGCAATGGGTATAAGAATGTGTTGGATTTCATTATTACACTCGTTGTGGTCAACTTCAGAATAGTTCATCTCTTACATAGATTGATACTAGTTATTCTATCTTAGTATAGAATTAATTGTTCATTCTTTTGGTTAAATCCTATAACTCTTTTCCACATAGCACTTCGCAAACAATCACACAGACTACCGCTTTAGTCTACTCGCCCTAACCCAGACCAAGACCAGAGAAGTATAGCCGACCCCCGCGTAACATAGGTTTCTAGGTTCCTCTGCAGGAACTTCTCTTATCTCATCTCTCGCTAGCAGAGTCTTATAGACTAGAAGCGTTATAAGGCTAATTTAGCAACTAAGTATAGGTTGTACTTTAAGCTATTACATAATAAGATAAAGGAGTATAATATACAACCCTCTCACATCTTTAATATAGATAAAAAGGGCTTCTTACTTAGAACCCTTAGAAGGTCTAAAAGGATCTTTAGTAAGAGGCAATATAAAAGAGGAGGAGTTGTTTTAAGCCTATAAGATAGCTCTAGAGAGTGGATTACAGTCCTAGCCTGTATCTGCTTAGATAGTATGTAACGGGCTGAACGCCCTTTAGATAGCTCCTCGATGGAATCTCGGTCAAGCAGCAGACGCCAGGTCTTACTCTGCAACCCGGCATCTGTGCGAGGCCTAAGCGGCGCCCAGACGACGCGCTTAGACACTCGGTGCAACCTTTCTCTAACAAGTAAATAAACACCACGCAAGTAGACTCTATAGCTCTCTATTAGATACAACCTCTTGTATACCTTGCGATTGCTCCCTAGAGCGCAGCCCCTTACATTTTGTATTCGATCCTAATTAGACATAAGCCTTAGGCAGACTATCTTCTAACTAAGTTTTAAAGCGTGTTGTTAGTGCGAGCTAGTAACATAAAGTTAGTGCTGCAATAGGTACGAAAGGCCTTTAGTGCAGCGAGAAGGTAGACCATCGCAAGACAGTACACCTAGGGCAGAGCTTCGCAGGAAGTTCAGCCGTAAGAGATAGTAAGCGATTTAGTCGCCTGGGACCTGTCTAGGAAGTCCTACTGTGTCTTAGAAAGCTAAGCTGTAGGCGCAACGTCGCGTGATAAACTACCTAAAGGCCACTTAGGCCTAGCGTACAGTTAGCTAGAAGTAGACGTTGTAGTAAGAAGTCCTGTTAATCCTCTATTAGACGGGGTGCAGGCTGTGCGATTACTCTTAATTGGAGACAAGATCCCACGAGCGAGATGGCAAGACGCGAGTCTTCCTAGGGACGCGACACGATAGCAGCCAAACGCTGTTTAGAACCGGCTAGAAGAGAAGTACGATTGGAAGCCCTGCACACCAGTAGGCAAAGACAAGAGACGTCTGAAGACGAATTAGACAATGGAGGCCAACGCTCCTAACTTGAACGTTGAAGAGCTAGCGGCTTACGCCACCACTAAGAGCCAGGCAGGAGTCCCGGACGAAGAGATCCTGCGTGAGATCACGCAGATGCTGAGAGAGGACGGATGGAAGGAAGCAGCGATTGGGCCAACGATTGAAGCAGTCGTTAAGCGATCATTAGTCGTAGGGGGGAAGGGCTCACCAAGGCAGGAGGGCTCACTGAAAGCTAATCAGAACGCCGTGGCCCAAGTAATGGAGCAGATGATGCAGCTGCTCAGCCCAATGGCTAGTCGCCTAGAGGCACTTGAGAGGAACCAAGCCGAAGGACGTTCGGAGTCATCCCCAAGAGTCAACACTCCTCTACCACCGCTAACAACAGTCGCCGAGCTAGCAGCCCGTAAGAATAAGTTTCCCAACCTAGAGCGTTTTAATGGGACACGTGATAACTACCTAGGTTAGAAATTCGAGTGCGAAGGGAAGCTAGAGTACGACCACGCTATGTTCCTAATAGAGGACGCAAAGGTCTAATACGTGCTTAGTTGAACAAAGGGCAAAGCAAACTAGGTCCTTCTTCCCTAGGTGCTTAAGAATAAGGAACGAACTATAGCTGGCCTATAGGAGCATATGGATACTCACTTCTAAGACGTGCACCAGCAGTAGCGTGCGCTAAACAAGCTTTAGCACTTAAAGCAAGGACGACGACTAATACGCGACTATGTCTTGGAGTTTAACTAGCTTTGCGTAGAGTCCTGACAGCAGTTTAGCCTAGCAGTAGCTTATAAGATGTTTAGTAAGGGACTTAGAGAAGAGCTCTAAAAGCTAATGCTCTATACTCTAAAGAATGGAAGTTTGAAGGAATATATAGACAAGGCAATCAAGCTTTCTAATGACCTATACCAGATCTAGTTGCACAGGAGGAATTAAAGGAACGCGGCCTATAGTCATGCGCAAGCTCCCCTAAAGGTCGCTTAGCGAGATGCTAGTCTAGAAGCGATAGACTAGGAGCCCTTAAAGGCCAATTAGGCATAAGAAACGAAGGATAGACTAAGGCGGTCCCTACTAGACTGCTATAGCTGCGGCGAACTAGGCCACATTGCTAGAAACTGTCTAAACACCTCTTAGGTTAAGAGAGCCGTTCCCCCAAGCGAAGGGCAGAGACGCCAGAAACAGATCGAATGCCTAGACGATAGCGACTTAGAAAAAGAGTAGCTCTAGGCCAGAGTCTTGGCCTAGAGCCTCTGAAGATGGATCAGCAGATACGTAGCGAATGGAATTAGTTTTAGCAGAAGCATATGCGTCCCCTACCAATCACTGTAGATCTTATCGTGAACAACGTAGCAAACGCTGTCGCGCTTATAGACTGCGGATGCCTATGCTATGCACTAATTAGCAAAAGATTCGCTTACTACCACTATCTAGAGCGCTTTTAGATCCCCTCTTAGATAATTAAGGGAGTGAATAGCAAGCTATTAGAGATTAGCGAGGTTGCCTAATTCTTATTCAAGATGCATAGGTACGAAGAGACTGCTTATGCATACGTGATAGACTTGTCCTCTAGTAAGGACGTGTACTTTGGTAGGGGATAGATGGACTACTAGGACGTATCAGTATCTCCTACCAAGAAGAGTATTTTTATCTACTTAAAGGGCATTTAAGTAAGGTTAACTAAAGGACGCCTATAAGGAGGAGTTAGCTAAGTTAACGCTACAGCGTTTGCGGCCTTAGTTTGTAGGCATAAGAACGCTCTAAATAGCGTTTAGATCTTCGCCGCGTCAATTGCAGACATCGACAAGGCGCTACAACCAAAGAAGCCCGTAGATGTACGAGCGCTGCTACTAACATAGTACTAGGAGTTCTATGAGCTCTTCAACCCGAAGCAAGCAGAGAAGCTTCCACCGCACCAAGGGCCAGGGGTGGACCACAAGATCAAGCTAGAGCTGAAGGATGCTTAGCTACTGTGGGGACCCCTCTATAGCATGTCGCGCAGAGAGCTTCTAGTCCTTAAAAAGGAACTTATATCGCTTCTTAAGAAGGGATTCATCCGCGTAAGCAGCTCGCTAGCTGCAGCGCTAGTATTGTTCGCCAAGAAACCTAGAGGAGGGCTCCGACTGTGCATCGATTATCGAGCTCTAAACGCAATTACTAAGAAGGATTAGTACCCGCTACCCCTCATCCAAGAGACACTTAATAGCTTAAGCAAGGCTAAATAGTTCACAAAGTTGGACGTTATTATAGCCTTCCACAAGATCTGTGTCGCACTAGGCGATGAGTGGAAGACAGCCTTCCAAACAAGATTTGGACTATTTAAGTGGCTAGTTACCCCCTTTAGCATGGCGAACTCCCTAAGTACTTTTCAACGATACATTAACTAGACCTTGAGAGAACACCTAGATGACTTCTGCTCAGCATACCTGGACGACGTACTAATCTACACTAATGGCGATCTGCGCCAGCACTAAGAGCACGTCCGAAAAGTGCTTAGCAAGCTGTAAGCCGCAGGGCTACAGGTAGACATCAAGAAGTGCGAGTTTGAAGTTAAGATAACTAAGTACCTTAGGTTTATTATTAAAGCAGGTAAAGGGATAAGCATGGATCTAGCTAAGGTAGCCACAATCCGCGAGTGGGAGGCACTAAAGACAGTAAAGGGAGTAAGATCGTTCCTAGGGTTCGCGAACTTCTACCAAAGGTTCATTAAGAACTTCGCGCAGCTAGCCGCACCCCTTACTAGGCTTATAGGTAACGTCCCCTTCTAATGGGGATCTAAAGAGCAGTTAGCCTTTAAGAAGCTAAAGGAGATCTTTGTTACAGAGCCCACGCTGGCGGCGTTCGACCCAGATCGGGAGACAGTGCTCGAGTGCGATTCGAGCGGCTACGCGGTGGGCGGGGTGCTATCACAGTACGACGATGATAGAGTCTTACGGCCTTGCGCGTTCTTCTCGCGGAAGAATAGCGCGCACGAGTGCAACTACAAGATCCACAACAAGGAGTTGCTCGCGGTAGTACGATGCCTTAAGGAATGGGATTCCAAGCTGCGTTTAGTTAAGAAGTTTAAGGTAATTATAGATCACAAGAACTTAGAGTACTTTATAAAACCTCGCATGCTAAACAAGCGCTAGGTAAGATAGTCGCTTCTACTTAGTAGGTACAACCTAGAGCTGCTGTATCAGCCAGGCAAGCAGAATGTAAGAGCCAACGCGCTCTCGAGAAGAGAACAAGACCTGCCTGCAGGGGCAGAAGACAAGCGCTTGCAGAAGCGTTTTGTGCAAATATTTAAGCTAACAAACTTCTATTAGGAGATAGTAAAAGAAGAACTAGAAGAGGAACTAGAAGAAGCCATTTTAGTAATAGCCACAAAAACACGAAGCCAACAGCGGGAAGAAGAGGCTGTTGCTCTAGCTAAAGAAGAACTAGGCCAACTACCTCCTAGAGAACCAGACGAAGAAGCGTTAGAGCAGAACAAGTTAGAGAAGCTCTAGCAAGAAGCGATAGTAAAGGATTAGGTCTACTAGGGAGCAAAGAAGGCCGTAGAGGACTAAGAACGACGTTTCCCTGCGAACTTAGGCCTAAAGTGCTTAATTAAAGACTACTTAGCGGACGGCGGAGTTCTGTTTTACTAAGGGCGCAAGTGGGTGCTAGACAACGACGAATTGCGAACGGCAATCATCAGCGGCGCACACGACTCATTAGTCACTGGCCACCTAGGACGCAAGCTAACGTACAAGATTCTCGCAAGGGACTACTTCTGGCCAGGCATGACTAACTCAATCCAGAGATATGTTAGAAACTGCGACGCTTGTGGACGGAGCAAGTCCTAGAGAGAGGGCACGCAAGGCCTTCTAAAACCACTGCCAATACCCACCTAGATCTAGAAGGAGATCTCCATGGATTTCGTCGAAGGGCTACCAGAGAGTGAGGGCATGACTAGCTTGATAGTAATCACTGATTGGCTTAGTAAGGGTGCGATTTTTGTACTGCTCCTAGATACAAAGACAGAAACCGTCGTTTGAAAGTTTATTAAACGTGTAGTCGCATATCACTAGCTACTAGACGCTATTAGCTCTAATAGAGGTAGCTAGTTTGTGAGTGCACTATAGATAAGACTATACAAGCTTCTGAAAATCAAACGAAGACTGTCGACAGCCTACCACCTACAGACAGATGGTGCAACAGAAAGGATAAATAGCGTCTAGGAGACCTACATCTAAACGTTCACGAACTAGGCTTAGAATAACTAGGCATAGCTCTGCCTAATAGCCTAGATCGCGATTAATGGTAGAAACGCAACGTTGACTAGAATGTTACCGTTCTTCTTACAGCATAGGCACGAAGTGGAGCCACTATAGCTAGAGCTAGACAATAAAAGGCAATAGCGGAAACTAGCTAAATAGCTTTTAGATAAGCAGAAGGCAGTAGAGATCGCGGTTAAGCTACAACAAGCCGTAGAACTAGCCCAAGCAGGCATAGCAGTTGCTTAATAAGAACAAGAGAGACAGGCGAACAAGACTCGGAGAGAAGCGCAGAGCTACCGAGTAGGCGACAAGGTATGGCTGAAGCTCGATTAGCAGTACAGCACAGGGCGAAGCTCTAAGAAGCTCGACTGGAAGAACGCTAAGTACACAGTGGTTAAGGTAATCGATAGCCACTTAGTCTAACTAGACACGCCCCCAGGCCTACACCCTGTTTTCCATGTTGATAGGTTGAAACTTGCTAGCAACGATCCGCTCCCAAACCAGGTTCAGGACGACTATCAGCCACAGCCGCTGCAGGTAGATAGAGAAGATGAATGGGAAGTAGAAGAAATTGTAGCAGAGGAGGTACGCCGTCGTGGGAGAGGGCATAAGCTATACTACGAGGTAAAGTGGAAAGGTTTCCACCAAACGACGCTCGAACTAGCAGAACTACTAGAGGACGTTGAGGCAGTGGACTGATAGGAAGCATTCACGGAGGCTGCGCGAGACAGCGAGGGCCGCCTCCCAGAGGGGTTTCGAAGAGGCGACGCAGTACCACCCTAAGGAGGGGGGTATTGTAACGGGCTGAACGCCCTTTAGATAGCTCCTCGATGGAATCTTGGTCAAGCAGCAGACGCCAGGTCTTACTCTGCAACCCAGCATCTGTGCGAGGCCTGAGCGGCGCCCAGACGACGCGCTCAGACACTCGGTGCAACCTTTCTCCGACAAGTAAATAAACACCACGCAAGTAGACTCTATAGCTCTCTATCGAATACAACCTCTTGTATACCTCGCGATTGCTCCCCGGAGCGCAGCCCCTTACACTAGTACACCTCTTTCT